TGAGTTTTTGATTTAATATCCAAGACATAATATTAGTTAATAAGCATTTAATAGATGAGTATTATAATATTTAATTTTAGCCTAATTATTAATAATATTTGTTAATTTTTCAAATTGTTATAATTTTGTGATTATTTATTATGAAGTAGTAGTGTTAATTTTTATGAAGATGCATGGGTTAGAATAGTTTAGTATTGTGGATAGGTTTACTGATAAGATTATATTATCTGTGATTACTTTAAACTATTTTGGTATTTTTTTTCTTAGTATTTTTTGTATATTATAATGAAATAATATTCAATTTAAAATTTTATAGTTCAAGTAGTCAAAAAATTATTTAATACAGATTATGTTGTAGCTATTTAATTTTTTTTTTTAATTAAGTATAATTGTTTTATTTAATAAAGAATTTGGTTAATAAATGTGTTTTTTGTTTATTTAAAAATAGGCTATAGATTAGCTATATATTCTAGCTAGATATTTAATAAGTGAAGTATAAGTATTATCTGAGCTGTATTTGTTTAAACTTTATTTATAGTTAATATAGGTTGTTCTAATAAGATTAATTTGTTTAAATTGACTGTATTTTGAATTTGTTGTAATTAAATTTTTAAACTACAAATATCAAAGTTAGAAGAATTAATATTTTGATCTAATGTTTAAATTTGTTGTTATTGTTAAATATTGTAAAGTATATTTAGAGCATATATATTAGAATGATATAAGATAGAGTTAGAAGTGAACTAAGCTAATTGAGCTTTCTTTTTAAAGATATTTATATATAAATTTGTAATAAAGTTACAAGAGCATTTTGATAAATAAATGCTTTGCATCTAATATATTACATATGTAAGAATTACATTATTAATAATATAAATAGTCTGTTAGTTATTTTAGCAAATTTGATATTATTTAAGTTAGAAATAATGTTTTTAATAAGAAATTTTTTTGTAGATTGAAGAAATAAGTCTCAGATAAGTCATGTATCCAGATATTTAAATATTGTTTTTTGTTGAATGTTTAATATATTTTTTTTTTGAAATATTATATTAGTATTAGAATTTAAATTATTAGTTACTAATATTGATTTGTAAGAGTTAATTTTGATATTAATATAAGAAAGAAAGGAGTTGACTGTTTTTAATATATTTTGTAACTTTTGTTTATTTTTAGTTATCAATATTATATTATCTATATATACTACTATGAAAATATATATTAATATAGTAAAAGAATATATATAGGTATTAAGTTAGTATTCTTGATATGTTGTATTAATACAGTTAATGAGTAGATCATAATAGATCCTTTATAGGATTGGAGAAAAAATTCTTCTTTAATCAATTTTATCTTGTATGATATAAAGTTGTGTTAGTTCAATGCTTATAATAATAGAATTTTGTTTGTTGTTAAAAAGATAATTTAATAAATTTATAATCAAAAGAGAAATATAAATTTATTAAAATATTTTGATTAGTAAAAAGATGTGTACTGTGTTATAGACTTTGAACATATCTTGTACTATGATTTAGTATTTGTTTTTTGTTATATTAACATGCTCTATTATATAAAAAATTATTTGAATAGGTTAAAGAGTAGATATAAATAGGAGTGTAACATTGTTATTTGGGTTTAAGATTAGATGTTGAGTAAGAATCTTATTTAATTAATAAGTAATTATTTTAGTAAAAATTTTTTGAATATGTTTAATTAATATGATTAGTTGAGTGTATAAGAAGTTATTGTTGTAATATTATTTTTTTAAGATAATCCATATGTTTGCATGTCTTCAGCTATTTGGTATTTTTTTAATTATCAAACATGTATTAAAGATCTAAAGAAGAATTTGTTTTGCTGTTGTTAATAGGTATTGAATTATTTTGTTAGATATTTATAAAAACTTAATAGTTTTGTATAGTAATGATGAAATTATGATCTTTGTTAATTCAGAGATCATTATTGGTTGAGACAAGTTATTATATATATTAGAGTTGATATGTAATAAAAGTTAAAGAAACTGAGTTCATTCTTGTTCAAAATTAGAATTTGTTAGGTTATGTTTAATCTAGTTGTTAAAGTACTTTTTTGTTGCTTATTTTATTTCTTTTGGGTTATTAATTATTCTGTCTAGTGTTATAATCTTATTGAAAGAAAATTGATTTTGATTATATTTAAGTATATTATTTATTATGCATGATATGTTTGATTCTATATTATAATATTTTTATTATATATAGAAATTTATTTTTTTCCTTTGTACATTTTGAATTTTTAGTGATTAGAATTCTGTCTTTTGATTATGTTGGATAAGTTTTCTGAGAGTTTATTTTCTCTCTCTTTGAGTATCTTTTGTTATATTTTAGTTAATACATTCGATATTTTAGTACCAATTTTTGTTTACTTTTCGTTTTTTTAATGATCTACAGAAAGAATTTTTGTTTCTTAACATTCTTATTTATATTTCTTTTTTGATTGTGCATATATCTTTTTTTTTTGTTTTTAATGTTTCTTATATCTTAACGATTTCTTTAATATATTGTTAAAAAGTCCTGAGTAAAAGAAAAGAAACAATGGAAAAGAAACCTCGCGATCAATAAATTTGGTTTATCTCTCATTTTGTTGGACTAAATTACTATGAAGAACACATACGTGTACTCTCTTCCGCTATCGTACAACCTATGCAGCCTTAGCGAGTATCGGCTGGCTATTATGGTTTTTTTTTTGAATATGTGATACATTAGCTGTCGTTCTGACAGGCCACAATTTAAACAATCTCTATACTCAAAAAAACTTGGTCAATACTTGGATTATTATCTTACGATGACTGCTGTCCGATAAGGTCAATTCATTCAAATATTGTCTCACTTCCGGGTAAGCCACAGTTTAAACCAATCCTATACTCAAAAACTTGTTCAATTCCTCGATCATTCTTTTACCGTCCTGGAAGGCCAACTCATTCAAATACTGTCCCACTTCCATTGGTGTCGATATAACCAGAATGAAAGTCTGGTTCGCAGAAAAGGCAAAGTTAATCTTCCACTTGCCTGCTGATATACTGTGGTCCAATTACCTCATAATAATCAATTTGAAATCTGTCAATTACATGCCTGACTCTATTACGGCGGCATAAAAATTAACTCCGATTAATACATATGACAAATCATTATGCCATTACAGCATTAGTTAAAATTATTACTAATCAAAAAAAGAAAATTTTTTAAATATTTTCTTTTCCAAAATCAATAATAACTCAGTATTTGAGTTGAAATATACAAAAGGTATGGAAGGCAGAACTACAACGAATATACAAATTTTCTTGGAACGATGACTCGTGTTAAGAGCAGCACATGAATCAGAATTCAAGTAGAATCAGTTAAAGACGTATGGTGGAATATGGTAGTAGAAAACGAAAGGTTTCCTTCATAAATTAAGTTTAAATATATCCAAACTAATGTATAAATGTAATATTAAAACAAAGTTGAGTCAAGTAATTTGCTAAACTGCGTGAAAAAACTCTGTAAAAAAAGCTCACATTATGTAGCATATATTAGAAATTACAGTAGAAATTCCATATAGCGATGGTAACAATGGAATTAATGTTATGTATAATATGCATAGATGGTTCTAAATAATACATCACGTTATCACTAACCTGTACAGATTTCAGAAATGCATTATCGTTATTTAACAGATTTAAATCGAACAAACATGATTTTAAGATCACGTTTAAAACATTTGCCATTCCTATTAATTAATTGATCGATTTGGTTAATTGATTAGTAGCTGGCTTACCAACTCAGCCAACTAAACGATTAATCGGTTTCGATTCATATCACTATAAGTTAAATAACACACATTAACGTTAAAATTACGTAATACTACAATTCTCCTGGGGCTATGATGAAACTTAAATTTTCACTTACAAGTTTTAGTGAAAAACAAAACTGGCTCAAAACTCTATTCAATGAATCCTGTACTACAAGTCGCACTATTAACACCGCATATCCATATACAGCCAAATTAAACGATAAACAAAATAAATAAAGTGCAAAGTTGAAGACGCAAGATACCTTTGGTACTAAACCCAGACCTAGAAGCGAAAAAATTTCTCGATCCACCCGAAACGGAGAACACGTGATCACATCATTTCTCTGATTACACACACGGCCGGCTTGCTTTGACAAGCGGGAAACCGCTGGCTCATCAGTCCTATGGCGATGAATCCCAACATAGTAATTTTACAAATTCCTTGTGATGTCATCGTTCCTGGCCAATTACTCGATTCTATACCATGTACTATGCTGATAGAAGTTTAATTGTTTAAACAAAATCAATCTCTACTTAAAAGTAACTTGCTGACATAGCCCAAACAAAATAAAATATGTGATGCGATGCTTAAAAAAAAAACAATAAATAAATAAATAAAATAAAGGAAATATTAAATGTAAAATGCAATATAAATTGTGACCTTATATATTGGGCGAAAGTATGTACTGTACATGCGCACTGTCACAGGATGAGCTGTTTCCTACATTATATCGTACGTACGTTCGCCAGAGGCGTGACTATGGTGATTAGGCAAATTCTGACTACTTCTGGGTTAATATTCTTATGCGCCCCTACCTCGCACATGAGTATCATAATCCCCACTCATTTAATTAAATAATGAACTAATAAAGAGAATTAACTACCGCGATTATGCTAAGCCTTTTACATACTGTGACTTATCTTTGTTGTCTTCAATGACACAGCTTTTTCAACAACCTTTGGCCGGCAAGCCCCATGCGCCATCCAAGCCTTTAAAAGTTTGTTTCCGAGGCACAGTTTATTATGATTTTCAGAAATGTCACCTTTGACCCGTGACAGTATTGTATAAACTGAACACGCACTGCAAATTTTTCTCTGATCCATTTATTTATTATGTCCTATAACTATAAATACAATTTATCTGTTATTTCTCAATACATTAAACGTTAATAAATGTTAATACTTATTCATAAATGGTATTGAATGATTATAACCCACTTAATGATACCATTAACGTACTTCAAACGATATTTGTTACGGTAATCGTAGTTGGCCTGTTTAGATCTTTTGAAAAAGATAAACAAAAAGACATTTCTTTTATAAATATATTTGATGATTTGATTATTTTTTCATCTGTTGTCACATATCCTCTTATTAATGGACTTCAATGGTTTTCGTATTATACCGAGAATAACAAACATAAATTTGTTACAACGTTATATATCATTATTCCAGTCTGGATAATTTACTACGTTTTATGGTTAGCTGCTATAAATGTAGAAATAAAGACAATTAATGACGATATCGACATCCTACTAAAGGATCAGAAAAGTCAAATAATTGAGAACTATGAAGATAAGGTTGAAGGTGATGAAGCAATTAAAATTAACGATAAAAAGAATGTTAAAGATTACTCACTTAAAGTTAAAGCGCAATTTATAATACAACGATTTTATCAAACATTGAAAATCAATAGCAAAGATAAATTTATAATATTTCATACGTGTTTGAAAAAAATTTTCTGCTACATGGAAATTTATTTTATGATTTTTTTTATTGGCTTTCAATATCAAATGATTATTTATGGTGATATTGATAACTCTCATTTCTCTCTTACTTACGTTAGTGGATATTGTGCTGAAAACTTTGGTGTCAACAAATGCAGAAATTTGAATATAACTTTGGTAATAGTGCAATACATCTGCATAATAATTCTAGCCTTTGACCTTGTTTATCATTCGTTTTATCTTTTTTTCACTTCTTCAAATTCTAAATTATCTGAAAAACTTCTTACATATTATCAAAAAAATAACAATTGGCTTAACAAGCATTATTATTTTAATCGGTTTATTGTTGGTTTTAATCACATTGTTATAATTGCTGTTATAACATGTCCAGCAGTAATATCAGGATTTTTACTTAGCACTAATTCTTATACCACAAAAATAGCCTTCGCACTTTACAGTTTATCACTTGCCAGATTACTTGATCATTTTGGTGATACTGAACCAAAAAAAGTTAAGACAATGATTTCCTTTTATCTGAATTGGCACGCAAGGATGATTAAAAACGATGAAGTTGAAAAAATTAAGAACAAACTAGAAAAACAAACCAAAAAACTAAACAAAATAACTCATCGATGTTCAGATGCAAATATCAAGAAGGAAGTAAATGACATAAGAGGTGCACTAGAAAATCAAAAAGAAGACTTGGCTGATATAATTCTAAATTATGATGTGAATAAAATAAACGACATAATAATGACAATAAATTTATCTCTATTATGTCTAATAGAAAAGATGACGATATTAAATTATAATTTGAGACAAGCTCAAAATAGTGAAGCGGTGAAAATACAAAGTAGCGAAACGAAAAAAAATAATGAAATAAAAGCACGAGATAAGAACTTGATAATTATAGATTTGGCTATCGTAAGGAAAAAAATAATTATGGTATTTGTTTCGCTGCAAGATTTTTATAAAAAGATAAATTTAGATAATAAACCTGATAAAGATCTAAAAACTGAACAAATAATGATTAATATCGAAAAAAATTCAACTAAAACCAAAATTGAAATAAAGGAAGAAATATTAAATTTACTGGAAGATTTTAAAGATTTCGGTGATAATGAGGACGATGAACAAGTCAAGGAAATTTCGGCATAATATTTAAAAATCAACAAAAAAGTCTTTCAACTGTTACCTAAAGTTTGCGGCATAAAATAACAATTACTGCTAAAATCGCTTTTTTTTAACCGATTAAAAAAATTCAAGAACTACGTAGTAAAATTTAATATAGATTTTTAGAATTTATTGAAAATATAGATATTAAATAGATTGATGATTAAATACACAGATATATATTATGTAAATAGATTGGTTATATATAAGAATTTATAATCAGTCAAAATTCAATCAAATCAATCAAAATTCAATTCAAAATATTATCTTTTAGACTGTATTAGAGGCATATTTGCCCAAAATTTTAAAAAGTTTTTAAAAATTATTAAAAAATTATACAAAAGTTTCTAATAATAAAGGGTATAATTTATTTATAAAATATATTATTTAAAATTTTGACAAACTTGGAAAATTATTTGATAAATTTTTGAATAACATAACTTTAAAATTTTTACTATATAATTTTTTGATTATAATTAAATAATATCATTCAGTATTATAAAATTTTATTACAAGTAATAAAAAAGTTTAAATATATGTAAAATTTAATACTAAAAAAGATTAATCTTTAGTACATATAAATGGGCATATATAATTAAAAATATGTTAATTCTTTTCTACTTTTGCTAATGTCATATTTTTATATAAAATATTTAATTATTAGCTTTTTAAAAATATATATAATAACAGAATACCAAATTTGGCAAAGTAATAAAAAAGAAACCTAAGTACATATAACAAGCTGTAGTAAATAGAAAAGTTTGTAAAAATAAATACAAAAAGTATTAATAGCAATAGCATAAAATAAGTTTAAAGAAAAAAAAAACAGAATCTTATTACAAGTATTATACAAATTTTTTTTTTTAATATTAATGATGAGGCATGCTTCTATCTTTATTAAATATTTATTTGAAATTTTTATAAAAAGCATAAATTTATTTTTAAAAATATTATAAAAAGAGTAAAAGCTTAGACTAGTTTATCTGTGATCTAAACCAACAGGAGTGGTTAAGACTCATTTAGATTTAGGTATTAGTAATTATTTATAAAAAGTTAGTTTGATATTTGATCTATTATATATACTAGAAGTTAATTTTGAAGCAAATTGAATTAGAAAGAAAAGATTAAAGTAACTGTGAGATAAGATTAAAAGATAAATTGAAAGTAAAAGAATAAGTTGTTAATCTTAAAATACAATAAGAAATTCAAATTTTATGATATATTTGTTGATTAAGATAAAGTAAAAATTTAATAACAAGTATTATAGCTATTTTTTTAGATAATAAGTTTAAGATAATAGAGATAATTTCATTTGGCATTAAGTTTAATAAAGTTAAAAAAACTGAAGATAGGTCTACTGTGTTATGTATAGTTATACAATACAGTTGTCTAATTTGATGGTATAGTTTAGTTATAGTTTTAAAAGTGGTATCAAGTGTATTTGTATTTAGAATGTGTTGTAATAAATTGTCAATAAAATTATATAGCAGTTGGTCAAATGAACATATTATTCAATAAAGGTGAGAACTGGTTTTATAACATTGATAATAAGTTGGTAAATATAAATAATATTATTAATACAGAATGTGTAAAGTAGAAAGTTAATAAGTAGAATTTTAATTTTAAAGAATTTAAAAGCAGAAGATTAAAAACTATATAAAAAGTTTAAAAATTTTTGATTATTATTAATATATAGTCAAGTAACTTGTCAATTAATTTGGTTAAAGATTTTGTTTTATTTTTAAAATTAGTTTTGTATAATCTATAGTGCATAAATATGTGCATAACAAATTGTATAAATACTGCAACAAGTAGATAATTTTAAAGAAAAATTTTTAAGATTTAGAGTATAGGATAGGTTATAAACATTGTAAGACATAAAAGTTAGATATGCTAGGTTATAATAGTTTTGTACTAGTTGATTAGCAAGATTGTTATATATGTTGTCTTAATATGCAGTAACTTTGTAAAAAATAATTTGAATTTTGTATGAATTAACAAAGTTAATAAGTGAATTCCATAGTAAAAAATATGGTGTATATATATAAGATAAAATTGTAAAAGAATTTAAAATGCTTTAGTATTTAGAAATTACAAATTGAGAATCTGTATATATATTTATAATACAATTCTTGAGATAGTAATAAGAGCAGATAGGATAGCAATAAGTTTAGCTTTAAATAAACAAAACCAGAGTTTTGTTTGAGTTTAAAATATATATAGTATAAAGTTATTAGAAATGTGGCTCTATCTAATACCCATAGAGCATTATAAAGTACCCAAATTAATAACAGAGCCATTTATATAAAAATGAAGTTCTGATAAGTTAGCATTATAGTTGGCTATTTGTTTAAAGTTATATATAAGTAAACTAGATTCAAAAATTATAGAAATTGGTTGAGTAATGATAGTAATATTTGAAAGATTTGAAATTTAAATAGAATGTTGAATTGCAATAGAATATATAAGGTTAAGATGATTAACTGACAAAAATAATATTTTTATCAAAATCTCAACAATGTTTACAATATTATCTGAACACAAACACTAATTAAGAAAAACTGCTTTCAATAATATTACCATCTTTCTTAATACTATAATCAATACTAAAAATCTAAAAATTAAAATCAACCTAACAGAAGAAAAGATTATTATAAAAAATGCTTTTTGCCAATTTTACACTAACCTGCTACTTAATACAATACTGAATACTATTTTTATTTTCTTTATAATGAATATACAACTACATATATAATTTACCAAATACTTAAAACTCTACAACAAACAGAAGCAATCATTATATGAAATAATCAGAAATATATCAAAACATATTACTAACAATTTTTCTAATATTAATTAGAAACTTAAATTTGAATATCTTAATTTTAAAAATAAACTTAGCTAAAATACTGATTCTATAAAATCTACTTTAAAAATATTCAAAATTAAAATTTAATCTTAGAACTACCAACATATTTTAATCTTTATAAAAAAAACCCAAAAACCTATACTAACTCTTATTGTGTAAAGTTTTTTAATATATTAGAAGATATAATTTATATGCTTATCTACTTATATAATCAAATAGAAATAAAAAAAATAATAAAAAAAGCAATAACAAAAACCTGTAAAAATAATAAAATTAAAACAACTATATTAACAAACCTAGTTCAAGAAATCCAAAACATCTATATAGACTAATAAATTTTAATTGAAATTATAACAAATAACTTATTCGAGCTTGGATCACTAAAAAAGAACTTATTACCACACATTTATCACTGAATTACAAAAAAATACATAAATATATATGGAAATCAAGTAAAACATATATTCAACAACATATTTTATTCTTATTAACTATCACTAACATTAGTCCAAACTACACATTACTAACATCAATAGATAGACAATATACTTTATAACTTAATAGATTTATTTTATTTTTTTTTTTTTTTGGAGTTAAGGTGAGGTCATGCCTCAGGTCTGTTTATTCAAACATATTGTTACAGTTT